GAACCTGGATTTAGGCCATCTGGATCCAGGTCAGCCTGGATTTAGGCTGGGTTTGGTTAGGGCTGCGCCCTTTGTGTGAGCTGAGAAATGCAGGCCTCTTTCTCCGTTGGGAATGGTGACTGAAATAAGAGGAGTGACCAAACTCTGGGTGCCCTTTTGATCATGGGATGACAGGTGTGTAGGGTTTTGATGTGAGATGAGGTCAGCCTCCTTTGGTAGGTGGTGTCTAGTTTCACTTTGGCTAGAAAGGTACAAAACAGCCCTTGACCCAGGAAAACCACCCTCTTTCAGGACACTGCTTATGAAAGTGTTCGATTCAGATGAGAAGGAGAAGAACTTTTTTTTACCCCACAGCTCTAACTTGTCTGAGGTGATACCCAGGGTAAAGTGATAGGCACATAAAACCAAGAAGGAAGACAGCTATAAAGAACGGAAATGAAATTAACATTGACATAAATTCCATTGACATGGAAATGTCTCAGGAAATGTAGTTTTATATGCTGCTGTTCTATTATTAATTAATTTAAAAAAAATAGCATGCACCCAGCAGCTCAGTGTATTATGGAAGTTTTCTTCAATACTAAGAAACAAGAGGACAAGTGACTATCATTGGGTGAGGGAGGTGCAGCATGTTGCTCTTACAGCTTGCTCTAAAGGAGCCCAAGGGCCTAAATTTGTTCCACCCCAATTCTGGCATCCTCCCCGGCTGCTGTGCCTGGTGAGCTAAAGACCTACTTCCCGTAGGTTTGACTGGACCGTGATAACTTTGTTTTTCCTTGATCTCCTCTTCCTAGATCAAGTCAGTCAGGTAAGGGGGCTACTTGAATGGTCAACCATGATTGATATTTTTCACTACCGTGGGTAATGAAAGTGCTGAGGATTTGTGTTGTCTGCTAGGGAGGCTGGAGACAGAGCGGCATGGCCAGATAGGGTGGCGTGGCCTGTTCTCAGAGCGTAGCATTACAGCCTGGTGTTTGTTTTAAAATATTAATCTAGCTTCAGATTGGAAAACCTGTTTTTTTTATCTAGTGTGGTGTCCTGTTAGTGCTATCAGACCTTTGTAATTGCCAAAATAGGGCAGAAAAATGGTCCTGGAAGCTTTCCATGCAGATAATCCGCCTTAAAGTGTAAACATGCTAAGTAAAGAGCCATGATTTTTGAACTGAAAGCCTTATTGCTATCTTTGTGGGAGTTACTAGTGCATGAAAATGCTATCATTTACAGGAATACATGTGATATGGATACTGGATATACTTAAATCTATTTTACTAGTACCTGTATGGCTGTTCCAATAGTGCTATCTCTGAGATTTGCTGTATATGGCTCACCCCGGCGTGAACATGTCGTGGTTTAACCTCAGCCAGCAACTGAGCACCATACAGCCGCTCGCTCACTCCCCTGGCCCCGGTGGGATGGGGGAGAGAATTGGAAGAGTAAAAGTGAGAAAACTCGTGGCTTGAGATAAAACCAGTTTAATAATTGAAATAATAATAATATACAAAGCAAGAGATGCACAATGCAATTGCTCACCACCCGCCAACTGATGCCCAGCCAGTCCCCGAGCAGCAGCCCCCCTGGCCAGCTTTCCCCCAGTTTATGTACCGAGCATGACGTCACATGGTGTGGAATATCCCTTGGGCCAGTCTGGGTCAGCTGTCCTGGCTGTGCCCCCTCCCAGCTTCTCGCTGGCAGGGCAAGAGAAGCTGAAAAGCCCTTGACTAGTGTAAGCACTGCTCAGCAACAACTAAAACATTGGTGTGTTATCAACATTGTTCTCATCCTAAATCCAAAACACAGCACTGTACCAGCTACTAGGAAGGAAATTAACTCTATCCCAGCTGAAACCAGGACAGAATGCCACCAAGCTGCTCAGTAATGAGGCGACCTGTGCAAGGCTCATCCTGCTCCCTCCAGCTCCCTCTGCTTTTGCGCAGGGTGTGAAGACTTGTTTTCAAAGAGCGGTGGCATGCAGTTTATCCCAGCTGTGGGGTGTGCACCTGGAAATACGACATTTGTCTGTTTGCTGCTCAGTCCCAGGGTATTTGCTTTCATTTTGGAAACAGGCTTCCCCTTGGATTTGGGTTTGCTTTCAGAGCTAATATAGTGATGCCATCTCTAACAGCAAGAGCCAATCTGTGCAGGGCAGTCTCCCAGGAAGGCAGGCATTCTGGAATACTCTAATACTGCAAGTCACCTGCTGATACACATAAAAACCTATGAGTATCTGTTAATATTGCCTTCTTTCAGGGTAGTGACACTAGAGAAGGCTGAAGCATGCAGCATCTATCATGAAATTTTTTTTCATTGCTCTGTTGGGGAAAAATGTGAGGTTTTTTATAAGTTGTTATGAGTCCTCAAAAGTCAACTAACTCTTCTAGCAATTGTGCTCATGTAGGCATGATTTCCTTCTAACAGGCCGAAGATGTT